CATTTCGACAGAATAAATCTTCTTTATTAACTTATTAGGAAATAAAACGCGTGACCCCTAAAGGGATTCGAAACTGGAACCTCTCAGTCCTAAGTCCAACACTCTAAAGAGCGGGCAGCGGCTATCTGAGGCAATGTATGGTAATTTCCTTGTTAAAGGGAATTCGTGGTTGAGCAGGGATTGCTGTCCGTTGGAATCGAACCTTGCACCTCCAGAGTTCGTAACTGTTCTCTTACGCCTTGCGCTACCATGTCATTCAAGGTCGCCTACGACTTTAACAGCAGACTCGGTGGTGCGCCTATCTCTTTCATATTGGATTCTATGTGTTCAGGTGTCCCATTTTAAGATTCTTTCCCTCGTTGAGTGACTTAGAGAAACGTATGGGCGTTGTGGCACAATGACTAAGGGTAGGCTTAAAACTTTGGAGACGCAGGGATCGATTCTGCTTATGAGACCATCTTTGTATTTACCATGAATTCTATTTAGCAAGGAATTAACCCCACGTTGCCTCTGTACAACCAGCTGAGAAACGGGTGGTAATTAGGTAACTTGCGCATAATAAGGACAGCATGGTGTTCTGGTCTGGTCATGTCAGAATGAACGAGGCATACGGTAATGTTTCCTGAAGGAAGACCCCCCCCCCATCTTTGTAGTTGCAGATTGTCTTGAAATGCCTGACAAGTGATTGTCTAGTGTAATAATCAGCAGACGTGTAACCTAGATTTCGAATAAATGCAGCTTTAAAGTCGGTCAAACTGGCAAACCAGCAATGTTCGACTAATCGCACAAAGAGCAAAAATTTGATCCGAGGAGGAATAGCATGCAACCCTACAGCATGCATGATTCTATCGAATACCTCCCTCAGTTCTTCTAGAATAATCCAGAAGCACCCTATCTTAAAAGATGATGGCGGGGTAATGCCATCATGGCACAGCGAGGGGTTTTTGCTCACAGCTAGCCCGACAATTTAGAACCAAGAAACCCTACCTGTCAGCAGTCAACAATGCCACCAAGTTACGCATTGCATGCTTAAACGTTCATTCTTTTACCAGTTAAGGTAAGTTTGATGATGTCTACCATACGACCCGCCGGTACAAACTCGACGTACTGGCGTCTACGGTAACTCGCCTCCTTAATAAGGCGATGCTTGACCTGCAGGATGAGTAGTCATTTTGGTAGTGGTCACAGTAGATTACGCCGAGCTAGAGTGGGTATCCTATTGTCTCCACATTTAAACCGAACAGTATTTTCTATCGAACAGGTGTCCTAGTCTGCGCGTAAATGCAGACAACGCTGAATGTCACTGTCGCATATGCAAGACAAATGTGTCGAGTTACAGTGACAAGACGCTTTCTGTGACTGCTTACGGTCAGACGTTAGCGCTTTGCTGCGTCATGACGTCATAGTTATCACATGTAATCTCAACGCAAACGCGAAGGATGGCGCTGACTACAGCATCAGGCCAGGGGCACGTGACCGTCATGAAATTGATACTGTGAGTGACAACGACGCGCACTTGTTAAGCGTTTGCTCCACAAAGGGCTTAATCGTTGGCGGGGTCCATTCTTTTCAAAACCGTGTTGAATTTACCAGACAACTCGGACGTCACATAATTGAAACAATAACGCCCAGCTGAACCACTTCGTCGTCAGCTCTGAATGACTAATTCGTTACTCGAGACTCGAGTCAGGTGTAGAGCCTGCAACGGGTCTTATCCCATTTGGTAGTAACAGAACTTCGTTCAAAATTGATCGCATCAAATTGGCGTTTCCTGCTGGAAACACACCATTTTCTCGATGTTGACGGCTACAATATGTCGAAGTGGCGTGGTAGGCCTTTCGAA